GGCCATGGTTTCCTATGCTATCTCAGGAATTCTGGGAGTTGAAGTCCTCCAGTCATAAAAGGGTCATAGTTTTCCATTCTGGCTGAGGAATTCTGGGAGTTGAAGTCCACAAGTCATAAAGGGGCCATAGTTCCCCACCTCAGAAAGACATAATTAGGGTTACTTGAAGAATCTCCTGTAGCTGAATAAATGTTGCAGCTGAGTAAAATCTCTCCAAAATACCAGAGGGAGTTTTAAAACTTGTCCATTCTGTTGAACCTACTCCAATGGCTAAAATTCATAAGTGCTTCTACATTATTCTCTATTCTTATTATTTTCCTTCCTCCTCCCCCGCCCCCCAAACCACAAGCTGGGTCTGTCTTAGTGAACTTGTCAACCATCAAAGTAGGATATTATTTGCCTACTGGCCTGTGTCGACTTAATATATCCATTGGCAGGACACTGAGGATTTTAAAATAATCTGACGTCATCGTTAGAGTCCTTGTTTCAAAACGGATAAGCCGGATTTGAAAGGTTTTTTTTTATATATAAATGTAAGGGAAACTCACCGTTAGCAATATATCCTGTTTCTTTTTTTAAAAATGAAATATTTTTGTCCATTTTCTGGATTTTTTTTACTGATTGATTGAGAGAGATACAGATAAAGATACAAATGCAGGCAGAAATAGTTCAATTTAAAAAAAGAAACAGGATATGCTAAAGAATTGCTAGTGGTGGGTTTCCCCTACATTTGTGTGGGTTTTGAATTCCCATCCTTTCCAGTCAGGGCAGGAAAGGTAGGCTGGCTGGGGATAATGGTACCTGTAATCCCATGCAGCTGAGACCCAAGGATTTGGGCTTCAGCGGCTTCAGCCTTTGCTGTCACTGTGGCTTCCTAATTTTTTTAATTAAAAGCATCCAGTCTTATTTCCATAATACAGAAATAAACATTGAGGAGAAAATATTAAAAGCAAGAAATATAACCATAGAATCCTTTTTTTAATTAAAACCTTTCTGGAGCAAACGCATGAAAACAATAGTTTGCCTGTTAAAAAATATTGCTAAAATCATGAAAGTCAGCTGCCTGTTTCTGAATAAAAAAGGAATCTGAGTAGAAGTGGTAATTGTTCCATAATTTGGTGCCACAACTAACAAGGCCCTGTGTGTTTTGCCCACTGGTCACTAGTGGGATGTGGACTTCAGTCTTAGACAGATGAAGGTGTGTCGTTATTCCTTAATAACATTTCCTATCCCTGGAGTAGTTTTAGTTCTGGAAACATTTACACCTATCAAAGAGAATATTTATAGCTCAGGGTTGAACTGCTACAAACACCTCCTTCCTTTCTAACACTGATGACGTTACCTAGATTGGCAAGGAAACAACCCCACCCCACAGAACCGTTTCGATTTCTCCTACCAGTGAGGACCAGAAACCCTTTTTTAACATTTTTTTTTCCTGTTTGACCTCCTGAAAGGCCAGAATACTGGGGGAGAGTTCTAACAGTTTCTAGTCCTTGTGAGGGCCGCTTCCGGGGATGCCACTCCAATTGTGGACATCCCTAGACGGCAGGAGCCCATGTGCAAATAAACTTGACCAGATTTCGTGGCCTTGCAAAGTTAGGGAGGCAGGATTCTCCCTTCTCCACTTCATTGCCAAGGCAGCAGTCGGTCCCCGTCCCTACTTCATCTGGGCCCCTCCATTATTTAGGCCTTCTCTCTCCACCCCCACCCCCACCCCTAGATGTCCCTCAGATGCGACGGCCGCTTTCCAAATCCCCAATACTGACTTGACTTCCCCCTCTACACGGGGTTTTCTTTCTTTGTCTGTCCTTCTCCCATTTCTCCCTCTCTCTCTCTCTCTCTCTCTTGCCCTTCCTTTCTTCCTTCCCTTTCTCCACAGGGTTCGGCTCAGCCCAAGGCCTTCAAGAGGAAGATCTCCGTCGTCTGTAAGTAAAAGGGGCAGGTTGTCCACCCTTTGAGCTCAACCGTCCCTTGACCAGCTGGTGAGACTTCTGAGGAGGGTTGGGGATGCTCAGGGGTCCCACCTCCCACTCCTGAAAGTTGAGGTCTCCAGCCAGGGCAACTTGGGGACTTCAATTTCCAGAATTCCTCACCTCAGCATTGCCGGCTGAGGAATTCTGGGAGTTGAAGTCCACAAGTTACCAAGGTTGGAGAGACAGCCTTGCTTTAAGGAGTGGGAGAGCACATGCCTTCTGCTTGGCTGCTGGGATGGAGGAAGGGTGGACATTCCCCAGGAGAGACAAGGTCACTCTCTGGAGCAGAATGCAAGGGATTGTATTCCCTGAAATATAGGTAGTCCTCACTTAATGACTCATCTCCGAATGACCAGCTGAAGTTACAACTGACCTTCCCAGAAGGTGTTTGCTTTGTTAAAATTTTTCAGCCCACTTTTATAAGTAAAAAGTGAGGAACGTACCCGATTCTCCTTCTTCCTCCTGTTTTTTCCACAACAACAACCCTGTGAGGTGGGTCGGGCTGGGGAAAAGGGACTGGGGCAAAGTCACCCAGCCAGCTTTTATGCCTCCTAAGGCAGCACTAGAACTCCCAGTCTCCTGCTGATTGGCCCAAAGTCATCCAGCTGGTTTTCATGCCTAAGGTGGGACTAGAACTCCTGGTTTCAGAGTCAACACCTTACCCACCACACCCAACTGGTTCTTCCAAGAGCTGCAAACTGCATTTTTGGGCATTTGGCTACCAGCTCGCATTTATTCCTGTTTGTAGCCTCCAGCAGTCACACGACCCGTTTTTGACAGGTTTCTAGTGTTTCCGATTTCCAGCTAAAAAAAAAATTCCCCATTGGGTATAATGGCTTCATTTTAACAACCGTTTGCAAAATAAAAAATAAAAAAGTGGCACAATCACATAGAGACTTGCTTTTAACGGCGACTTAAGACTTAATTCTGGACTCAGTTGTGGTTGTAATTCCAGAATTCCCTGAATGCGTTTGATGGGATGGGATGCATATTTCTTTAGTTTTAAAAGATACACCTGGTAAAATATTTTTATTTTTTCAGTGGTATTATCCTTGGCACCAAATGGCCAGCTTACTATACGTAGCATTGGGGTAGCAGGAACATAGTTCATTTAATGCCTGTAGTAGTGAAGGCAGCTGGGATTTTACCAGGAAAGGGCTAGCTCAAGTGTTTCTCAACCTCCGCCCCTTTAAGATGGGCAGACTTCAACTCCCAGAATTCTATGCTATGCTGGCTGGGGAATTCTGGGAGTTGAAGTCCACCCATCTTAAAGAGACGGAGGTTGAAAAAAACTGAGCTAGATTCTTTTTTATCCCAATATATAGCCCTAAGCTTACAACCATTCATTTAGTAACTATTTGAAGTTACAGCAGCATTCAAAAAAAGTGACACATGACCATTTTTCTGACAACCATTTTTCACACGGTTGTTGCAGCAGCCTCAATACTTGGCACTTGGCCACCGGTTCATATTTATGACGGTCACAGCGTCCTGGGGTCATGTGATCCCTTGTTTGTGACCTGACTAATAAAGTCAATGGGGGAAGCCAGATTCACTTAATGGTTGTAGCAAGAAAGGTCGTAAAATGGAGCAAAAATCTGTTGCCTCACTTATAGCAACAGAAATTTTGGGCACAGTTGTGGTCATAAGTTGCGGACTATGTGTACTGGCATGCAGAAGTGGGAATGTGGATCATGCAGAAATGGGATTGCGGCTTAGGGAAAACGGGTGGGTGTGAACTGGCTCGCTTACTCGAGCCAGCCTACAAACCAAGCTACCCCAATTGTGTCAAGGAAGGGCGTAAAATGAAGCAAAACTTCATTGTCTCACTTAGCTATAGAAAATTTTGGGCTCCACTGTGGTTGCAAGTTGAGGACTACCTGTATTGTCAGATCATGCAGAAAAAGACATGAGGGTTAGGGAAAGCAGGACGTGAACTGACTCGCTCATACAAGCCACCTCAAGAGCAAAGCTGTCTCAACCATGTTCTGGAGAAACTGCTCCGGTTTTTAACTCCTTTCCTCCCTCCCTCGCTTTTAGCATCCTCCGTGGCCAAAGGGCCCATTGCCACGAACAGCGACACTGAAGGAAGCCAGCCAGCGGGCCGCAAACGGCGCTGGGGCGCCAGCACCGCCACGACCCAGAAGAAACCTTCAATCAGCATCACCACCGAGTCCCTCAAGGTAACCAGCTAGCCGTGACAAAAGTCGACTCGGGGACAGCCAAGATCAGACCTTGATGTGTTTTCCTCCTTCCTCTTCTTCCAGAGCCTGATCCCAGAGATTAAGCCGCCGCCGGGAGGCCAGGAAGCCGTGGTGGACCTTCATGCTGATGACTCCCGCATCTCTGAAGACGAAGCCGAGCGCCACTTGGAAGAGCCAGCTCACGAGAAAGCGCTCAAGATCTGCCGTACCGTCACACAGGTTGGTGCTTGGGGGGGCGGGGGAGAACGATGGCTCCCAATCAGTCCCCAGGGTGGAAGCAGCGCACGGACTGCAAAACCCTGCGAGCCACGAAGCTGCGCGCAAGCTGGACGGCCGATTTATTCAGCTCCGTCGTTTTTACTGCTCTCTCGTCTCCCATCGGTTTGGGAATGGTGCACAGCCAATCTCTCGTAAATGAGATCATTAATTGCAACACTGTTGTTGTTTTTTTAAAGGCAGATGCTAATTGCAGTGCTCTGATTTAGATGCCGGGAAAAACAAAAACAAAAATATCCTAAAACCTGAGCCAAGGATCTCGTGTAGCTGCCAGATTCTTTTATCTGCAGGGAGATCCTGCCCAAAATTATTCTTGCAAAACGTGTTTGGCTACCAAAGATCTCTGGCCTTTGCCCAGCGAGGCAAGAGGGAGAGGAGCCACTGTCGCCTCCCTCTCCCTGTGTAGACGGAATTCAGCTTGCCAGGATCACTGATGATGTTACCTGAATTGGTAATGAGACGTCTGTATCCAAGCTTAGGAATGCCGCAGAATATGAGATTTATTCTGTGGATTTGCCACTGAATCAATTGATAAATCTATATAAAAAGGAGGGTGTCCACCTATTCTCCAGAGCCCCTGAAGGCAGGACAAGAAGCCATGGATGGAAACTGATCAATGAACGAACGAACGAATGAATGAATGAATTATTTATTGTCCAAGTGTGATTAGACACACCAGGGATTTGTCTTGGTGCCTATGCTCTTAGTGTACATAAAAAGAAAAGATACATTCATCAAGAACCACAAGGTACAACACAATGATAGTCATGGAGTACAAATAAACAATCAAATCATACTAGGAAGCAGTCAATATAAATCGTACAGATACAAACAAAAAAAGCAACAACGTTACAGTCATAATCAAGGAGAGAAGCAACTTGGAATTAAGGAGGAATTTTCTGACAGTGAGGACAATCAGTGGAACAGATGGAATAGGAATACAGAGTTAGAAGGGACCTTGGAGGTCTTCTAGTCTAATCCCCTGTTAGGCAAGAAACCTTACACCATCTCAGACAAATGGTTGTCCAATCTTTTTTTAAAAAACTTAAAAGAGTTTTGGAGCATTCACAACTTCTGGAGGCAAGTTGTTCTACTGGTTCACTGTTCTCACTATCAGGAAATTTCTTAGTTCCAGGTAAATCTCTTAATAAGAGACTGGATAACCATTGGTCTGAAATGGTATCTCCTGCTCAAGCAAGGGGTTGGACTAGAAGACCTCCAAGGTCCCTTCCAGCTCTGTTATTCTGTTAAATGCCCGTTGGAGAAAGAATAATTTTCCTCAAAAGAGGAAAGTATATTATAGGGAGAAAACTATTCTCGTTGGAATAGATTCATCAGTGATCAACTTGGGGGTATAATTCGTGTTTTGGTCTTTTATCTTTTTAATTCACCTTTTTAAAAAAATGTTATCTAGCTTTTTTTCTCTCTGTTCATTTTTTCTTTTGGATTTAATTTTATTTTAATCTTCTGAATAAAATAATAAGTTGAGATTTTTTTTAAAAAAAAGAAAACAACCGAGCTTAGAGAGTCCCAAGGACCCCCCAAGCCCCCCCCCCCCTATTTCTCATCCTGTAAAAACCACCATTTTATCAAGTCCAGCCTGGTCCCTTCCAGCTGAGAAACCTGTCCCACCCTTCTTCCCTCCCAGGTGGTCCCCGTCGAAGGGCAGGAGAATGGCCAAGGGGAGGAGGAGGAGGAAGAGGAGGAGGAAGAGGAGAAGGTCCACGAGGAAGAACAGCCGGAGTTGGAGCCCGTTATCGCTGTAGAGACCGTGGTTCTGCCTCCCCCGGTAGAGCACGAAGTCAAAAAAGGTACCCGAGGAGGACAGGGGGCGCAACCGTCAGAGGATGGGGAGCAAAATGTTTTATAGGTAGCACTTACCACCGGCAAGATTGGCAAAAATGTTCAGTAATTTGTCCGCAAAACGTTGGAAATGCAATCATAATCCAGGGACTTACTATCACATGTGGTGGACTTGCACCAAAGCAAAGCAATTTTGGGAGAAAATAGAGAGCTGGCTGGAAAAAATAACCATACAGAAGATAGACTGGAAAACAGAAGTATATTTGCTGGGCATATTCCCAGAGGATTATGATAAAGGAACTGCATGTTTAGTTTAACATACATTGACAGCAGCAAGGATTAGACATGTAAAATTCTGGAAAAATGTGAATACCCCACCAGATGAGGCAATCAGGAAAATCCTAGAATGTGTTGAGATGAACTATCTTACTAAAAACAGGGGTGGCATATAACTATAATCACTGTAGGTACTAAAAATATGAAACACAAAGAATGGGAATTTTACTGTATGGGAACTACCATAGTATTATTAGCGTTGTTAATTTGTGTGTTATTATATTATTATTAGTAGTAAATAGGACAATATTTTTCACAGTATTAGCTATGTTTTGTGTGTGTGTGTGTGTGTGTGTGTGTAAATAATATACCCAGACAAAATGCTGTATTCAAAAAATGTTTATGAATAAAAATATTTTTTTTAAAGAAGAAGACGGGGAGCGATTGACCCCCGACAGGTAAGACTCACCTGTGTGGGTTTCTGTCTCCCTTTGCCCCACAGTCACGCTGAGCGATACGCTCACCCGGCGGTCCATCAGCCAGCAACGTTCCGGGGTCTCCATCACCATCGACGATCCCGTCCGCACGGCCCAGGTCCCATCCCCGCCACGGGGCAAGGTCAGCTGTATCGTTCACATCTGCAACCTGGTGAGTGTTTTTGGGTTGCTGTAACTATTTTAGAGGTTTTTTTGGGGGGGGGCACCGGGGGCCTTTCTTAACGCCCAGATGTTTGTTCGTGTGCATAGGTGAGGCCCTTCACCCTTGGGCAGCTGAAGGAGCTGCTGGGCCGGACGGGCACCCTGGTGGAGGAGTCTTTTTGGATCGACAAGATCAAATCACACTGCTATGTCACAGTGAGTCTTTGAGGGTTTCTACCTCCTTCTCCAGAAATTCTCCTTTCCAGAAAAATATCATCGGCATTTCGCATCCAACCAACTCGGTTCAGGAGTGCTTTTAAAAGGGGGAAAGTTACGCTATGCTGAGGATCCCAGATTATCTGGATTTGTTTGCTCAATGCCAAATGCTGTCTGGGTTTTTTTAAAGGGAATTTAGAGAGTGTTTTAAAACAAGTTTTGCTTTGGGGGGAATTTTAACCGGAATGTCTACAGGGATTCTCCATCACCCAGGTAATGGTTGTCCCAAAGGTGCTTTTTTTCAAAAGGCAGCTGGAGTTTTCCTGGGGGGATTTTCCCCCTTCAAAATGTTTTGTTTCTCATCCAAGAAGCTTCTTTAGTTCAGTTTGAGAGGAACACCTTCAGGATTTAGAAAGCAGGGGGAAGAAATAGCTGGAAACACATCTCTCTCTCCTCTCTCTTTCTCTCCCCACTCTCTTTCTGTCTCCTCCCTTTCTCTCTCCTCTCTTTTTCTCCCCTCTTTCTCTTTTTCTCCCTTCTCTCTTTCCCCTCTTTCTCCTCTCTCCTCTTTTTCTCCCCATCTCTCTCCTCTGTTTCTCTCTCTCCCCCTCTTTTACTCTCTTTCTCCCCTTTCTCTTTCTCCTCTCTTTGGCCCTGTTTTTCTCTCCCCCTCTCTTTCTCCCTTCTCTTTCTCCTCTCCATCTCTCTCTCTCTCTCTCTTTTTCTCTCCTGTCTCTTTGTCTCCTTTTTCTCTCCTCTTTTTCTCTCTCTTCCGCCAATATTGCCTTTCAGTATTCAACAGTGGAAGAAGCCGTCGCGACGCGAAACGCCCTCCACGGGGTCAAGTGGCCGCAGTCTAACCCCAAGTTTTTATCCGCTGATTTTGTGGAGCAGGATGAGGTACGGAGCCCAACGGGGAAGAAAGACGTGGGATGGGTAGGGGGGGGGATCTCTGCCCCCGTGCACCCAGAGTTTGGTGCAAGAAAGTGAAACAGGAATACTTGCTCCAAAAATGGTATATGTTTTTTCAGGAGACGCTTCTCTCTGGCTGTTAGCAATACAGGTAGTCCTCGACTTACATTTAGTGACCATTCAAAACAACGGCACTGAAGAAAAGTGACAGTGACCACTTTTTCACGCTTATGACCGTTGTAGCAACCCACGGTTGCATGATTTACATTCGGGGGTTTGGCAACTGACTCACATTTATGACGGTTGCAGGTCCTGGTGGTCATGTGATACCCTTTTGAGACCTTCTGACGAACAAAGTCAAGGGGGGGGAAAACCAGATTCACTTATTGGTCATAAATCGAGGACTACCTGTAAAATGATGCCACAAGATAATGTCTCTTAGCTTTCTCACGAGATTTTGTATCCCACAGAGCTTCCACCTGCTTACCTGAGGCTGTTCCTTTCTCTTCCTTAGCTGGATTTCCATCGCGGTCTTCTGGTTGATCGTCCCGCCGAGGCCAAGGCCGATGAAGCGCCCACCTTCCCTGGGGTGGGCCCAACCACGCGGGGGGAACGGGAGCTGTCCCGGCGCTCGGAGGCACGGGAGCGGGAGGCGGCCGTGCGGGAGCAGTGGGCCGAACGGGAGCGAGAGATGGAGCGCCGGGAGAGGACCCTGGCGGAGCGGGAGTGGGATCGGGACAAGGTGCGCGAGGGGCCCCGTTCGCGCTCCCGGTCCCGAGAGAGACGCCGCAAGGAGCGGCCCAAATCAAAGGAGAAGAAAGCAGAGAAGAAAGGTAATGAGAGAGAGCTTGGTCTAGTGGTTAAGGCGCAAGAGTAAAAAACTGGGCAACCGTGAGTTCTAATCTCACCTTAGCTATGAATGCTGACTGGGTAACCTTGGGCCAATCACCAGGAGACGGTGAGTTCTAGTCCCGCCTTAGGCATGAAAGCCAGCTGGGAGACTTTGAGCCAATCAATGGCGATGGGAATTCTTGCACCGTCTCGGGCATGAAAGCCAGCTGGGTGACTTTTGTCCAATCACCAGGAGAGTGGGAATTCTAGTCCCGCCTGAGGCATGATAACTCAGCTGGGTGACTTTGGGCCAATCACAAGGAGACTGGGAGTTCTAGTCCCGCCTTCTGGTCCATGAAAGCTGGCAGGATGTCTTTGGGCCAGTTCTTCCCTCTCAGCCCAACCCATGTCACAGGGTTGTTGGGAAAACAGGAAAAGGAAGCAGTGTTAAATATATTTGCCACCTGGAGTTGTTTGTAAAAATAATAAAGACAGAATCTAAACAAGTAAAACAAATTTGCCTGTTCCCAGCTGGAGGGAAGTTTGGGCATTCACCCACCCTACCCCATCCCTAGAGAACATGGTCACCTAGTTGGAGTTTCAGCTTTTAAGTTTGAAGCCCAGTTTTATTTCAACATGGCCTTTCCGCCACGAATGTCCATAGAGATTCTCCATTACCCAGGCCATGGTTGTCCCAGAGCTGCTTTTCCAAACGACAACCCAACGTCCTTGCTTTTGTTTTTTTGTTTTTTTCCCCCCTCTTGAAAACGTTTCGCTTCTCCTTCCAGAAGATTCTTCAGTTCTTCAGAAAGCTGCCTCTTGTAGTCGAAGCGAAATGTTTTCCAGAAAGAACCAAACCCCAAGAAAAGTCCTGTTGCTTTTTGGAAAAGCACTTTGGGGGGACTTCTGCTATGAATGTAGGGATAATATTGCTGGGGGGTCTCATATAGGTTTAACCAGCCCCGTTTAACCAAGGATTATGCTTTTCAGGTAACAACCAACCTTCTTACTTTCCTCCCCCACAGAAAAGGCCCAGGAGGAACCTCCGGCTAAACTTCTGGACGATCTGTTCCGCAAAACCAAGGCAGCCCCGTGCATTTATTGGTTACCCCTCACGGACATTCAGGTCAGTAGCGGGTTTTCAAAACTTTCTCCTACCGGTTCGGTGTGCAGCGTTTGCAACTCACCTTCTGCTGCAAGCGCTCTGTGTAAAACTGCGGATGCATGGCAATCGGGTGTGCTGCGCGAAGCAGCTGAGGTTGAAAAGCAGGAAATAATGGTCCATCTAGAGCAGGGGTGGATGGGAGGGCCCGGCAGCTGATCGTCAGAGCAACCGGTCCGGCCAAACCGGTAGAATACCACCATTGATTCAGCAGCCGGGGTAACGTGGTTGTCTGAAGATGTGGTTTCTTGGTTTCTTTAGCCCTGAGGATGAGAAGGTACACTCAAAATACAGTTGTCGACTTACGGCCACCATTGAGCTTTCGTTGCTAAGTGAGACGGCTTTTTAACTGAATCGTGCCCAATTTATCCGACCTGTCTTGCCGCCGTATTAAGTCAGTCACTGCAGCAGTTCAGTTAGGAACCTGGTTGTTCAGTGAATCAGGTTTCCCCGTTGACTTTGTTTGTCAGAGTGTCGCAAAAGGGGATCGCACGACCCCCGAGACACCGCAACAGTCATAAATATGAGTCAGTTGCCAAACGTCTGAATTTTGATCCCGTGCGGGGATGCTGCAGTGGTCGTAAGTGTGGAAAACGGGTCGTAAGTCACTTTTTTCAGTGCCGTCGTAACTTCCAGTGGCCATTAAGTGAACTGTTGTATGTCGAGGACCGCCTGTATTTCTCGTCACAGGATTTTGAGAGAAGAAAATTATGATTGTCGATGGTTATAAAAAAGCAGAAGGCGTCTCAGAGCGCATATTCCGACAAAAGACACTTTAGAAGCTCTTTTGCAAGCGGCAATTTAATGAAAATGGTCCCAGATTCTTCCTGATTTCCAGTCACTACGAGGAAGAAGAAAGCAGATTTGATGACTGGGCATTTTTTTTGCCTGACCCAGAAACTTCCAATATTTGGAGTAGTATTTCATGCATAATTAGTTCTCTGCTTACAACACATTCATTTAGTCAGCATTTGAAGTTACAACGGCACTGAAAAATGTGACTTACGACCATTTTTCATACATAGCGACTACTGCAGCATGGTCGTGTGATCAAAATTCAGACCCTTGGCAACTGACTTGCATTTACAATGTCCTGGGGTCCATCTCCTTTTGCGACCTTCCGATGAACAAAATCAATGGGGAAGCCAGATTTGCTTAACAACTGTGTTATAGGTAGTCCTCAACTTACAGGCACACTTGAGCCCAAAATTTCTGTGGCTAAACGAGACAGCTGTTAGGTGAGTTTTGCTCCATTCTATGACCTCCTTTGCCAGAGCTGTTAAATGAATCACTGCAGTTGTTAACCCAGTTGTTGAGTGAATCTGGCTTCCCCTTTAACAAAAGGGGATCATATAACTCCAGGACACTGCAGCTGTCATAAATATGAGTCAGTTGCCAAGCAGCTGAATTTTGATCACGTGACTGCGGGGCATGCTATAACGGTCATAGGTGTGCAAAGCGGTCACAAGTCACTTTTTTCAGTTGTGTTATAGCTTCATTAAATCATATTTTAACGACCCCATAATCTCTTGGAGCTGAGTGTTTACTGGCTGGATGCCCTTCCTGTCACCAATGTGGAGTTTTTGTTCAGCATTGTGCCCAGAGAGAGACATATCCGCCTCTACCTAGGATCAAACTCACAGCCTCCTGATTGGGAGGCAAGAGCTCCACCTCTAGGCCAATCATTATAGCTTCATTAAATGAACAGTTTTAAATCAAGGACTCCCTGCAGCGATTCACTTAACAACTGTCTCACTTAGCAACCGAAATGTTGAAGTCACTTGCCCATGAAAAACTGTCCGTGATGCAGCCATGCTTCAACAGTTGCTCTTCCCCTCCTGCTTCTCTCCTCTCAGTGTGTCCAGAAACAGGCCGAGCGAGCGGCTCGCGCGCGTGAACGGGAACGCCGGCGCAAAGAACTGGAAGCTGAGGAAGCCCGTCAGCGGGAACGCAACCGTCAAGCTGAGCGGGATAAGCGGCGGGAACACAGCAGAGAGCGAGAACGCGAGCGCCCCAATGCCACCAGCGGCGGTGGGGCCAGTCGAGCGGGCGAAAGGAGCGGCCGAGGAGACCGCGAACGGCGTGAAGCCAAAAGCCGCCACAGCCGGAGTCGGAGTCGGAGCACGCCTGTACAGGACAGAGGGGGGCGCCACTGAGCTATTCCTCAGCCTTTCTTTTGACCTTCGGGGCAGGGGAAGGAGTTGGTGGTGGGGGCACTTTCCCTGAATCGAGCTCATGAATTTTGCAGTCAAGGAGGAACAAGGGGGGGGGGCATGGAGTTTCTTTGCCCACCACTGGAAAGGCCGAGAGGGGGGTCCAGCGTGGCTGGAGGGTGGCCGAAGTGGTAGGGCTCTCCCCCCTCCCTCCCCCAAACGTGGGGGTAAGTTTGATTTCCAACCCCTCCTGCTCCCCTCTTCTGGAGCCAGTGTCCTTCCCGTTGATTTGTATTTTATTTTGGGAAATTTTTTTTTTTATTCTGCTGATAATACAGGAAAGAGAGCATAATAAAAGAGATGGTGTTAGTTTTAAAGCTGCTGTCCTGCTTCTTTTTGGGGAGTGTGCGAAAAATGGTGAGGCGCCCCCCCGCCATTGTGGGGAAAATAGTTTGCTATCCTCTTGCAAAGATGCTTGAATCCTGCCCTGGTGCGTAGGGCTCTTGTGCGTTTGCCCAAAGGGGAAGGGAGACACCCCCCTTAGCAACTTGTGGTGGTAGAATTTGTTCCCAAGCCAGCAGAAAAACCACCGAGCTGAAAGAGCACCAAGAACCCCACAGTTCAGCCGTGAACTACAAATATTCCATAGGAACAACTATTCCATAGGAACAAATGGTGTACCCATAGAATATTTGTGATCAGGGTTGACCTGAGGGGTCCTTGGTGCATTCTGAGCTTGGTGGTTTTCCTGCAGATGTTTCATTTCCAAACTAGGCAACATCAGTGCTAGAAGAGACGGGTGTGTGGAGTGGAGGATGTGGGGTTGGAGAACTGTGGGGTCCTTGAGGCTCCCTGAACTGGGTTGTTTTCTTGGAGGCATTTTGTAACCCAGCTAGGTAACATCATCAGTGCTAGAAGGGAGTGAGGTATGTGGAGTGGAAGAGGAGGAGGAGAATGAGTGTGGGGTCCTCGGTGCTCTCTGAACTTGGTGTTTTTCCTGCAGATGTTTCATTACCAAACTAGGTAACATAATCAGCGAAGAGACTGGGGTGTGAGGAATGGAGGAGGAATGTGGGGTCCGTGATGCTCCCTGAGTTTGGTGGTTTTCTTGGAGACGTTTCATGACTCGGGAAACATCATCAGTTCTAGGAAGGGAATGAGGTTTGCAAAGTTGAGGAGGAGGAGGATTATGGGGGTCTTCCGTGCTCTTTGAGATTGCAGGTTTTCTTGCAGATGTTTTGTGACCCGCCTAGGTAACACCATCAGGGAGTGGGGTTTGATAAAATCCCAATCGAGGAACTACCAACTCACACAAACAGTCAAAGAGTAAACAATCAAGCCTAATCAAGGAGCCACCAAGAACACCCTCTAACACTAACAGGGCAAGCTACTAGCATATAAACGGAGAGCAAACCCCATTCTCTTCTAGAACTGATGATGTTACCTAGTTGGGTCACGAAATGTCTGCAGGAAACCGACCAAGCTCAGAGAGCACCCAGGACCCCAATTGAATGGCTGGTATTAATGCAGAAAAAGGCCCTTTAGAAAGAACATTGATTGCAAGGAGCAACGGAATTTCTATTTATTATATTTCATATATTTATTTAAAACATTTCTAAAGCCGCCCCTCTTCTAACCAACTCTGGGCGGCTCCCAATCCAAAGTTAAAACAACCTATAAAATATTAAAACTGCAAAACAAAATGGATCAAAACGTTTTTCTTCTGTTTTCCTGTTGAGGTCTGAGAACCAACCCACCAAATGAGAGCATCTTCCTTCATCAGGCCCTTTTTTTAACTGCAAAATAGCTCCACCAGCTGAATGTCTTATGGAGATTCTCAGCCATCCAAGTGTCCCAAAGGTGCTTTTTTTTCAAGCGGCAACTGGACTTTCTGGTTTTTCCTTGGAGACATTTCACTTCTCCTCCAAGAAGCTTCTTCGGCTCTGATTGGATAGTGGGGGATGGAAGGATTGTCTGCAAGGAATAAAAATCTTTTCATTCTCTGCCATCCAGTCAGAGCTGAAGAAGCTTCTTGGAGGAGAAGCGAAACATCTTTTTTTAAAAAAAACACCAATTTCCTCTTGAAAAAAGCGTCTTTGTGATTCCACCGGCTGATTTAACTGTCACGAATTCCAGAGTTTAGTTTGTTCACCGAAATACAGAGTACAGAATTCAGCAGATACAACTATACCTACCCATCCTATTTTCAGCGAAACCAACATTAAGCAAAGCAGAAGAAATAAGACTTTCGGGATCCAATCTGAATCGTTCATCGGGACCAGAGGTTTAGTCTTCTCAGCTTTCGGATCCGTCCTGGCCCATCCTTGGGAACTTCGCTCTAGCAGTGTGCTTTGGGCTATTCTGTTTCGAAGCTGCTTAGATTGTTGGCCGAGCAGGGACAAAAACAGCCAGGGAAACAATTGAAGCGTTGGAAACGGCCCTTTGTCCACCAACCGGCTTATACTTAGGATCCGCAACAAACAAACAGTCTTCAACACCCACTCAGCAACTAAAAAAGAAACCCCACACAACAGGCACCATATAAATATAGGGAGTCTTCGACTTAACAATGGTTCGTTTAGTGACTTCAAAGTTACAACGGTGCTGAAAAATGTGACTTAATGACCGTTTTTCACTGTTACGACCTTTGCAACCTCCCCATGTTCGTGTGATCAAAATTCAGATGCTTGGCAACTGGTTCATACGACCGTGGTTGTGTCCCAATGTTATGTGATCCTCTTTGGTCGTAAAATGCGGCAAAACTCTTAACAACAGAAACGTTGGGCTCCATTGTAAGTCAAGGACTGCCTATATTTGCTGCCTTTCGTGAGACTTTTGAGAATTCACCTGCAAAGGAAATTAAAGGCCGGAAAAAATATCTGAAAAGAAAAGGGAATTTTAAAATCAGGACTCTTAAAATTAGGCCACAGCGTTAATAAAGACTCTGTAGCGGTGGAAAAATAGGCTTCAAAAACCTTAGCTGGAAAACTGGCTTGATGTCTTAAGACTGTTTAGAAACTTACATAAACACGATTATCTTTAATGTTCCAATAAGATCCAAATATAGCTGAATGTCTTAACGCAAGGGCTAAACTGAAAAGATTTGCGCTGGGCTTGGAATTAGCTTGCAAACATTCCCTTTTTTTTTTCTTCTCCAAGTTAAATAAATAAACCCTTTTTCCTTTTTTAACTTCTATTTTCTCCCTTCTTAAAAGAGCTTTTGTGGGGGCATCTGCGTCTCTTTTCCCGCTCTGCTCTTACAAAGAACCGAGAGGTGTGATTGATGCACATGACAGAGCTTTCCGGCTAGGATTTGCACACGCACAATCTGGCCTAACACCACAATGACAGATGATGATTTACGGAAGGTTTCTCTTCCCCCGAATGGAAATAAAAAAAGACCTTCGCCAGGATTGATCCGATGTGGTTGTTCCCTTCTTGGCAGATAGATGGCGCCGGTCTTCCACATAACCTGGTCAAAGGATGGAGGCAGTTCACTACTCTTAGATACACAAAAAAACACAAACTGCAGGCCAAGGGGGCAAATTGTACAAAGGAAAGGGGCTGAGCAAGAACGGATAATATTTCTCCTCTAAGATCCTGGTCTCTTTCATTTTCTAACCTCCCCCACCCCCCACTAAGATCTTGGTTTGTGGTCCCCCCTTCCACTTGCTCCAGAACCACAAGACTCTCGACTGGCCCCCAAGGAATATCTGCAGCTGTGACCCTGTCTTTTTTTTCCCTGCTTCCAGACATCTGTTTTGCTTTCGCTCCCTTGCCGTGTCTTCTTTCTTTTCATCCTTCACACAACACCCCACCCACCCACACTCCCCGAATTTCCCCTCCCCAATCCTGCTCTTATTTTTCTTCCTCCCTGGGCAAGGCTTTGGAGAATGAGAATTGTCATCCAATTTTTCTTTGTTCCTGCCTCCTAGATCCTCGATCTCTGTTTTTCGGATGCCAACGTTTGGCGTTGGGGCTCGTGTGTGTGTGTGTGTGTGTGTGTGTGTGTGTGTGTGTGTGTGTGAACCAAAGGAAGCACATTTTGCAAGGCTTTAAGGCCCCAATCCATCTTTCACCACCCACCACCCCACCCCCTGTAGGCTGTCCTGAGTTCCAGACTTGGTTGAGCCTTGCTGGATGATGATGCACTGGAAGGGCTTTTGAGCAATTGCTATAGTTTTACCTGGAGATCTTTGTTATGTAAAGTATTCCGGCCCAGGCCTTAATGGCCCACCCATAAACAAAGGTGGGGGCGAGTTTCTGCTTCTGAGGTGAGTTTCTGCTTCTGAGTTTCTACTCTTTTTAGGGGAAATATTCTGCCTTTTTAATATTTCCTAGGCTATTTCAATTTTCTAGGAGAGGGGTGGGTGCTTACTTCCTACACCATTTTGGCCAGCAGGGTACTGCAGGAGGCTGCCCAGGCCAAAAACGGGGGGGGGGGCTTGCACGCCCCCCCCCATGCCCTGTTTTGGCTGCTAGAGGCCCTGTGGACTGGCCCTTTGCTACTTCCAGGCCGGCCCTGCGGGCTTGAGTTTGACACCAATCTATACATTCCCCCATCCATGGCTTTCCTCTGCAGATCCCAACATCTGGTGCCTTCTATCCCCTCCTCCGGCTTGCTTCTCTGGGAGAGACCCCCGTGGTTTGGGTGGGGGGGGGGTCCAGGAAAAATTGGGTGCTTGGTCCCGACTGAACTTGAAGGCCAGCTATTTTGGCTGCAAGCACCAAAGTATTAAAACTTGGATTCTTTCTGTGAGTTGGGATGTGGTTTGTTACAGATAGCCCTCAACTTACGGCCACAATTGAGCGCAATATTTCTGTCACTAGGCGAGACAGTGGTTATCTAGTCCCTACACTGTATGTGTGCAGACCCTACACTGTATGTATGTGTTTGTGTGTAACGTGTGTGAGAGCTTTACTCCAGGACTTGTAGTAAACGTGGGGATGTTTGGGAGCAAAATTGGAGCAATAAAAAGGGGAATTAAGACTTGTTCTCTGGCTGTGTTGCTTTCGTACCATGTCCTGGGTCATCCCACCAACTATTGGGTTCAACTCACCATTTGGGCAAGGATTTGGCCTGGAAGAGGCCCTCTGGGTCCCTCCTGTTTGGCTCTCGCCCTTTCCTGCACCCAACGATAGAGGGGCCTGACTGCCCTCCATCCTTCCCAGCCACAGCTGGCTCTGGTGGAGAGGTTATTCCAGCTGCTCCTGCGAGGATCACGCGCGGGGCAGCAAAGGGGGAGGAAGAGGAAGATGGCTGAGAAAATGGCCCCCTCTTTGGGGGGGGGGGGGGGGGGGGGGGGGGGGGGCGCGGTGTCTTTGCATGCGGCAGAGAATTTTCCCACATTTTTTTTC